AACAGTCCAGCTCCATCCTCTTTGGAACCGCCCTGCAGGTAGTTAAAGGCTGCCATTAAATCCCCACTCAGCCTTGTCTTCTGCAGCTAAATAAGCCCAGTTCCCTCAGCCGCTCCTCATAAGTCATGTGCCCCAGTCCCCAGACCATTTTTTGTTGCCCTCTTCTGGACTCTCTCCAACTTGTTCACATCCTTCCTGTGTAGAGGGGTCGTCCGTGGGTGTATTCCCTCTTGCCTATGTTTGTTGGACTGGGGCCATGACACTTGGTGGCTGTAGCAGCAAGATGCTTGGAGAGCTGTGCTCTGGGTCCCCCACCTGTCAGCTCTGCTTGTCACCCCCTGGGAGAGGGGGCACTCTCTACCTGCCTCTGACTGCGCTGCTACCTGTGCTTGCGCAGAACCTGCTGCAGGTGGGCAGCGCCCTGCTGGACATCAGCAACAAGCGGCACTGGGACCTGATCCAGCAGACAGAGGGTGGCACTGCTTGGCTGCTGAAACACTACGAAGACTACGCCAGCGCCCTGGCACAGAACATGCGCAAGACATACCTGAGCCCCTTCACCATTATCACACCTAACATCGGTGAGCACCGGGGGCTGTGCCGTGGTGACGTGTGTATGGGTGTAGGCAGAGGGGTGGTGCCTTGGCAGTACATGTGTGGGCAGGGGGAATGGTGCCTTTGTGACCCATGTGTATGTATGGGGGGCACATCTCTCTGTTGTGTGTAGGGGGAAGGGCCTCAGCATGTGCACACGCATGTGGGGATGCCGTGTGCAGCATCTCAATGAGCTGTGTGCAGTAGGGCTTGTGTGGCCCCTTCCTTTGTGGCAGTGATGGTGGCCCTCTGAAGAGGACCAGAAAACTGATGTGGCCATTGAGGACAGGAGCTGATCCTCTTCCAGTATATTACACTGATGGAAGTAGCTGGTGGGTGAGGTGATTGATAGCTGGAAAACGTATGCAGGCAGCTGCTGTCTATGAAGCTGACTGCCCTCCAGATACGTCCCCTGCTCTGTCCCAGCCCCCTTCCCTGGGCATTGCTTCCCATGTCTGAAGAGGAGGGTAGGTTGTAGATCAGACCAAGCCCTCAGCAAGCTGAAGCTGGGCATGCACAACATCACCGCCCCAGTCTTGGTCTCCGAAGTAGGTGGGTGAGGTTACTCTGATGCTCCTTGCTGCTGCTGGCTCATGCTTCCTTGCTCCTAAGGAGATAGACACAGCTGGGTGTAGGGGTTACCTGGACCTCATTGGTGTCCGTTGTCTTTTTAACACGAGGAAGGCTCAGTTGTTTGAGCAGAGGCTTCAGGGCCAGGACATGATACCGTGCAGCAGCAGCTCCCTTTGCCCAGCCCAGTAAGCAGGCCTCTCATGCTGTGTGCTCAAACCACTATATTTTGGGAGGAGGTAGATGTAGCCTCTGTAGTTCATCTGGCTTTTGCTGCCTTGCACCGGGGGGGGAGTTCTTATCCTTATGCCAAAAATGAGCCTCAGCCACCAGCAGCTGCAGAAGCATGAGGATCTTTGCTGTCCACAACAGAGAAGCTCTCTCTGGGTGCTTTCCTGGGCATTGTGCATCTCTCTTGTCTAAGCAAGGCAGGAGACAGGCCGACAACTCCACTGGTGCCAGGTTCCCTAGGCCTGGTTCATGTGCCCATTACCTAACAAGAGCGTGTTTCCCCACCAGTCATCTCTGTGGTGCGGCTGGACAAGATGAACTTTGCTGGTGCCAAGCTCCCTCACTATGAGGCGCTCCGGGGCGAGAAACCTGCAGACCTGGAGACCACTGTCATCCTACCTGAAACTGTCTTCAGGGCCCCCGAAGGCAAATGTGAGTCAGTGGTGTCCCCTGCCGGGGAGCTCTAATAGGAGGGGCAGCCAAGGGCCCCTGCACCAGTGATAGGGAGCTGGGTGGGGAGTCCAGGGCTGGCATTGCAAGGCTGTAAGGGACATCAGCACTGCTGGGGTGGGCAGAAGGGCCCTGGGCTGGAAGGGAGCACCGCACAAGCTGCGGTTTTGCTCTCAGTGTGCTGGTCCTCAGAGTCATTCTGGATTTGCCCTGGCATGCCCATGGCATAGCTTGGCGTGCCTTGCTTGCACCAGCCTGCCTTGCAAGGAGAGCCACACGACCTCTCCTGGGGGATCCCTTTGATTGTGATTATGTCCATATTTGTCTCACCACATCCCGGTTCTCAGGGGGCTCTTGGTTCTTCCTGCAGACACCCCGACAGCCAATGTCAAGCATTTCTCTAACTCTGGGGAGGAGCAGGACAGAGAGGAACGTAAAGAGGAGGAGCTGGGCCTGTTTACCCGACACAAGAGACATCCAGATCTGGGTGAAGGCCAGGCTGTGGCCAGCGTCATCATCTACCGCACCCTGGCAGGGCTCCTGCCAGAGCAGTATGATACGGACAAGCGAAGCCTGAGGTACATGCAGCAGTGGGGGACACATGGACAACAGGGTGGGAAGAGGCAGTGAGGAGGGAATGGGATGCTGGGGGGCTCAGGGAAGGCGCGGAGGTCAAGTCTGCTCCAGGTCAGGAGTGGCATGGCCAGCAGCCAGGCCTACTGCTGTAGCCCCACCAGGCAGTGTATCACAGCTTGGCCTGACAGGTGTCTCCCCTGGGGAGGCTGGTTGGGCCTTGGCCTCTGCCAGTATCCAACCTGGACACCTGCCCTCTGAGGACCTGGCTTGAGACCTGCAACAGTTGTTCACAGGGCTAAATATCAGCCTCTTAGCATTGGCTTTCATTCCCTGCTGGCCTGGCCAAGACCCAAACCCATCTGCCTTTTTTCCTGTTGCACTCAGCCTGGTGCTGCCTGGCTCTGCAAATGCACCTCTCCCCTTCCCTGCCCATCCCCACCACAATTTCAGTTGACCTGGCTGCTACTGGACCTCACCCCCGCTGGCAGGGGAAGTTGCTGTGGTGGGGGCAGGCTGTGTTTCCTGTCCTGTCTGCTCTCACCCATGTTGACCCCACCCTTGCTGTTATAGGGAGGACTGCACCCTAGTCCCACAGCCACAGGGGAAAGGGAGACATTGGCCTTCCCGCAGTTCAAAACACCCAGAGTTCAAGAGGGACACCAGGGCTTGTGCCCTCCGAGTGCCTCTCCACCCACTGCTTCCTATGCTCCTTATGCAGGTGTATTGTGCTCTTTCCAGCTCTTGTGGATGTGTCACCACTTCCACTTGCTGGAGGGAATTAGATCTGTGCACATGTGTGTGGGGAGGGGGGTGATGTCTCCTTCTGGGGACTGGAGCCCTAAGGGTGATAAGTCCAGCCACTCCACTAGCTGGTAGGGATTTCTATTTTGCTCAAGTGGGGTGGTTTTACTTCCGCTGTGCTTTTTATACCCTGTGGAGGTGCAGGATGGGCACAGGCATTGGTAGCCGTGGGACGGAGACAGGGGTGGTCACAGCAGTGGTTGCAGCAGTGCAGGGTGGCAGGTGGGCACAAGCGGCAGCAAGAGCTGTGGGGTCCCAAGGATCGGGTTGTTCCTGCAGGGTCCCCAAACGGCCGATCATCAACACCCCTGTGGTGAGTATCAGTGTCCATGACAATGATGAGCCAGTGCAGCGGGCACTGGAGAAACCCATCACAGTGCAGTTCCGGCTGCTAGAGACAGAGGAGCGCACCAAGCCCATATGTGTCTTCTGGAATCACTCCATCCTGTGAGTACCTAGGGTGAGGCACAGGCACCCACCACAACTCTCACCCCACCCACCCCAGGCACAGCCCAGCAGCTAGTGGCCAGCAGGGTTTGGGAAGGGATCCCCTGCTGACACAGGGATACAGGGCACGTGATCATGACTGCGCTCTCTGGCTGTCCCCAGAGTGAGCGGGACAGGCGGCTGGTCAGCCAAGGGCTGTGAGGTGGTCTTCAGGAACGAGACCCATGTCAGCTGCCAGTGCAACCACATGACCAGTTTTGCTGTGCTGATGGACATCTCCAGGAGAGAGGTGACAAGGGGAGGGGACCCTGACCCTGGGGAAAAGGGGCCCTTGGGTGGAGCAAAATGAATAAGATAAAGGGGGTCCCTCCCTAGGAGTGGGGTGGTGGGGGATTCAGCATAGAAGGGAAGGGCATTGGGGTGGTGTGTGAGGCTAGAGTGCAAGAAAAGTGAGAGGGGTCCTATCCACAGGGGACAGGGTGGTGGGTGATGCCTCGGGGATTGCTTGAGGCCTTTGGTATGAAGCCCACGGGTGGTATTTGGGGCTGGGTCTATGGTGGTTGGCAGGGCCCATCTTGTCTTCTTAAGCAGCAGTATTACTCTGCACTATTGAGCTGTATTTTCCCCCCCAGAATGGGGAGATCCTGCCGTTGAAGACCATCACCTATGCCTCCATCGCTGTCACTCTGGGAGGCCTCTTCCTCACCTTCGTGGTTTTGGCCAGCCTGAGGGCCCTGCGCTCCAACCAGCACAGCATCCGCAAGAACATGATGGTGGCCCTCTTCCTTTCTGAGCTCCTCTTTCTCCTGGGCATCAACCAGGCCGACATCCCCGTAAGCTTCTAGGAACAGCCCTGGGACCTGGGCTGGCATGTCTGGGTAGGCAGAAATGACCAAGGAAGCAGGGCTGATCCAAAGCTCCCTCCTACGGAGGGGCAGGGGCACCTCTGGGTGGCAGGAGTCCTAGTCAGTTGCTGTGAGCTGCGTCCTGCTGGCTGTTACAGTCAGGATAGAGCGGTGCTGGTGCGAATACACTATGTCTGCCCCACTGCATACATGGCTAGTGCTGCAAAGGAGGGCTGAGCTGCCCAAGGCTTAGGCCTGAAAAATAAACCCCACAGCTGCTGCAGCAGGTGGCCACAGTTCAGGCTGGGCAGCTTCAGGATACTCACAGACCCCAGTGCACATGAAATCATGTGAGCTCCTGCGTTTGTCTGGCAAGACCTCCCTGCAGGACCACAGTCTCCAACATAGGTGTGAACTCCTGCCCTGCTTCTGCCTCCTGACACCTGGTCTGGCCTCCCCGCAGTTTGCCTGTACAGTCATCGCCATCCTGCTGCACTTCTTCTACATGTGTGCCTTTGCCTGGGTGCTGCTGGAGGCCCTGCACATCTATCGCATGCTGACTGAGGTGCGCGACATCAACTACGGCCCCATGCGCTTCTACTACATGATTGGTTGGGGTGTGCCGGCCTTCATCACGGGTGAGTCCTGCCCCTGCACCCAGGCAGGATAAGAGAGAGCTGGCTGGGGAGGGTAACACCGCAGGGAAGGGTCTGGGGGATTGCACCTGAATTTGCAGCGGAGCGCAGCTGCAATAAAAGCAAATGTGGTGTTGACGGGAGTGTTTGGTGTAAGACACAGGAGGTGATTGTACGACTCTAGTCAGCACTGGTTAGGCCTCAGAGCACTGTGCACAGTTGTGGGCTCCCTATTTTAATTCCTGTTCCCGACTCCTACTGGATGGGATGGGATGAGCTCAGCCCCAGGCAACAAACACTGGGAGCAGAGAGGCAGTCTGGGGAAGAATAAGCAGTAGCTCAGACATGCTGATCCCTTGCAGTGCCTCGTATTCACATCCTGCCTCCTCCACCCAGTTCTGCCAGTGACACTCAGTTTAGACCAACAGCCCTCCTGTTATCCAAGGCGTCCTCCACAGCTGCTGGCACGGCCTGCAGCTCCCAGACCTGCCCCCACTTCCCACCTGCCAGCTCTGCTGGTGCCTCTCAGCCTTGCCTCCCAAAGCCCTGCCATTCCAGCCCAGGGGTGCTGGACAAACCCAGCTGTGCCCAGCTGTCAGGATCCAGCTAGGAATCCACTGTTTTGTTCCCTCTGGAGCAGGATGGTGGTGCTTGGATTGTTCCTCCTTTGCTGACAGTGGTGTATGGTGTTTCTCTCCTCAGGGCTGGCAGTGGGGCTGGATCCTGAGGGTTATGGGAACCCTGACTTCTGCTGGCTGTCCATCTATGACACGCTGATTTGGAGCTTTGCAGGGCCCATTGCCTTTGCTGTCTCGGTATGTATAAGTGTCTATACGTGTGCAGCAAGGCTGCTTCGACACACCGTAATTACAGCGTGTCGGAGCAGACTTGATTAATTACCGCGCTCCAGTAGGCTCCAGTGTCACGTGTGTCAGTGTCCTCATACTGAAAAATGGCAGCGGGGGTGCTTTAACTAAAGCTGTTCAATGAGCTTTAGTTAAAGTGTCCCTGACGCCATTTTTCAGCATAGGGATGCTGATGCACTTGAGGCTCCAGGCACTTTAATTAGAGTGGCTTTTGGAGCCACTCTAATTAAAGCACCCACCCACACACACACTCCTGGGGCACATGTATAAATGCCCTATGAGGTCCTCTGGGGTCTTGGAGGCTTCCTGTGCATCTAGGGGGTCCTGGAGAGGAGCCCCAAAGGGCAACAGGAAGTGGGGAGATAAGGGACTTGGCCTCTGCTCCCAGCTTGGGGCAGGAAGTAGGAGCAGCACACAGGCAGTTAGGACTCCTGGGTTTCCCTTTCAGCCCTGCTGCTGATCTGCTGTGCACTTTGGGGCAGGTCACATTGCCCCTGTGAGTTTCCTCCCTGAGAGCTGCTGCTTGCAGAAAACTGATTGAGGGGCAGAAGACACTAGCCATGCAGACCCCTGCCTTCTCTCCTGCTGCAGCCCCAAATGCTTCCTGACACATGTCAGGGTGTGAACTGACCTCTGCAGTGCCCAGCAAAGAAACCCTTTGATGCATCACGGAGCAGCCCACCTGGTCCAGTGTCAGACCTGGTGTGGCTGATGCACTTGGCCCATGACACTACAACTCCTCCACCCTCATGAGGCAAGGGCAGTTGCCCACAGCCAGTAATGGATGCCCAAGGCTGGAGCTCTTCAAGGGCATGGTGGGCACAGAGGGGACACATTTCTAAAGCTGAAGGCGAGGAGTCTCATGGGGCAGGGAACGATGGGTACTTCCTGACTCCACTGTCCTGTGCTGACTCACCTCTCTTCCCCTCCCTACAGATGAGCATCTTTCTCCTTATCCTGGCAACTAAGGCCACCTGTGCAGCACAGCAACAGGGATTTGAGAAGAAGGGCACAGTGTGAGTCTGTCCCTTCCATCCCAGTTAACTTCCTGCTAACACCCCTGATTTGCACACTGCCGCCTACAGCCTGCTGGCCACAGCAAGAGCACACCCCAGTTAAGGCCTGGTCTGGTGTGGGCAGGGTCTGGAGCACTGTTTTCCTGAGGGGTGTGTCTCAGAGAGATGCAGTCCTGTATCATTTTGGGGGGCTCCAGGCATGATGAGCCAACACTGCTCTGTTCAGTGAGCTGGAGGGGTAGAGATGTGATGGCAGGGGCACATTGGGGGGTCTGCCCAGGAGGAAAGTGTGGTTGGCCAGGTGTGTCCAAGGGCTCTGTGTGTCTGAGGGAGGGGACACAGCGTGTTCTGGGGGAATACAGGGAGGCTGGAGTTTCACTGGGGAAGGGTTGAGGGGGTGTGTGAGGCATGAAAGCTATGCATGTATCTGGGGGATGGGGGGTTTCCATATGGGGAAGTGTGTCTGTCTGGGGAGGTATGGTTGGAGTAGAGAGGGTCACCGTGCTTGTCATGCGTCTGATTTGGGGTCTGACCCCTACCCTCTCCCTCCCCATGCAGCTCGGGCCTGCAAACGGCCTTTATCATGCTGCTACTGATCAGCTCCACCTGGCTGCTGGCCCTGCTCTCCGTGAACAGTGACTCCATCCTCTTCCATTACCTTTTTGCTGGGTTCAACTGCCTCCAGGTACAGCAGATGGGGGCAGAGGAGTGTGGACTGGGAGGGTTTCCGCCTTTGGAGAGTGGGTGAAGAACCTTTTACCCACATATGTAGAACCCTGCGGGTCTCCTTCAGATCTGAGATTTCCTGGGGCTGGGTTACCAAAGCCAGCAGTAGGAGAGAGTCCCATGCTGGGGGTGGTCTGAGAGATGGAGGAACTTCTGATACTTGAAGGGGGTTGGGGGAATATGGGATGGATGAGAGAGAGCCTCATGCGCACACCCACTTGCCTTATTGGAGGCCACCCCATTCCTTCTGCAGCCTGTTGGCTCATCTAGTGTGGGGTGCTGGGGTGGGACTTATACATGGCTGTCCTGCCCCAGGCTCCACATGGTCCTTTTCACACCTTACCTCCCTCTTGCTGCCTTCCCCAGGGGCCCTTAATCTTCCTCTTCTGCATCGTCTTCAGCAAAGAGGTGAGGAAGGCTCTGAAGTTCAGTTGCAGCAGGAAGCACAGCATGGACCCCATGCTCACCACCAAATCCACCTTAACAGCAGTGAGTGCCTGGGGGCTCCCTGTCTCCCTCTTCCTTCCACAGCAGGAACCTCAGAGGCAGGATAGCCATCAGTTTGGCCCCTAGAATGGCCTACTGCCCCAAGCTGGGGTCATTTCAGCCAGCACTGGAATAGCAGCTGGCTTGTGAGTCAGTACTGAGGGGCATTAGTAGAAATGTGTGTGTTGGGAAGGCATCCTAGCGCTGGGGTAGCAGGGGGCTGCACCTTTGGGTGGAAGGGTAGAGCTGGGGGTGCCTGGAGCTGGGAGAGCAGGGAAGCTGCAGCTTGGGATTGAGAGACTGGCGGAACTGGAGGTGGAGAGGATCCAGTGAGGGGCAGATGTAGGCCAAGAGCGAGGAGCATTGGCAGAGCTGTGAGGGGGTCGCAGAGGTCAAGAGCTGTGTCAAGAGTGAGATTCAGCAGTGGAACCAGTGACTCGCCATCAGCCACCCCTCTTGCCCTGGGTTCTCCTTTTTCCCTGCCAGGCCTACAACTGCAACAACACGTACATGGACGGGCGGCTGTACCACCCACCATTTGGAGACTCCACAGGCTCCCTGCACAGCACCATTCGCTCAGGCAAGAGCCAGCACAGCTACATCCCCTTTGTGCTCAGGTATGGCTCATCACTCTGGGTCTGTGGGTGATGGGGAGTGGGGTATTTATATCCATCTTTATGCAGTATCCCCAGCTGGTTAGTAGTGCCCTGCCTCAGCCAATCGCACTGTGCTTTGCAATCCAGGGAGCAGGCTTCCCTCTTTTAGAACAACCTCCATTCTCCACGCCAGTGGGCTCCGGAGTGTCCCAAGATGCTTAGCACCACCTGAGATGGAGCTCTCAAAGACATGTCATGTCCCCTGGCTGAGCTGCTGGGGGAGCAGGTGGCCCAAGCAGGGCTTGGGATGGGAGCTGGCTAGGGTGCTGCTGTGGTTAGGAAGTGCCCGGTATGTGTTTTGCAGAGAGGAGTCTGGTTTGAACAACAGCCAGGTGCACACAGGGCTGACGGACCCCAGTGCCCTCTTCCTGGAAGCCAAGGATCAGCCCAATGGTAAGGAGCAGCATTGCTTTCTGCTGCAGGCTTTGGAGTAGCTCCTGTGTTTGGGCAAATGGGACCCTTGTGCAGTGGGAGTCCTGACACCCCCAGTGGTCTCCCTCTCAGGTCCTGAGGCAGCAGCCTGAGTCTCTGTTGTGCAGTGTCTTAGTGATGCTGCTGCCTGTTGGTCCTTGGCTGTCTGTCTCAGGGGTTTCCCATTGCCTGGGCCATGCTTATTGACCTCCAAGCTCCACTTAGCGGCTTCTGCTGTCTCAGAGGCAACTTAGTTAAGAACTAGTCCCCTTCCCTCCCCCCCACCAAATAAAGGGACCATCCCACTCTCTTGGAGCCCCTCAGCAGCACTTCTTCAGAGTCATTGGTACTACAGAAACAGTATTATCGAGGTCCCCTTATCCTGGGTACTGCACATGCACATACTGAGAGACAGTCCCTGTCCCATCAAGGTCATCTTTTCTGGAGCTGGGAGGGGAAACAGGCATGGAAAAGGCTTGATCCTTATGTGCTCATGACCAAGATCAGGCAGTAGGTCTGTGGAAGAGCAGTGTTAGGATCCAGGTCTCCAGACCATTGTCTCTCTCACCTTTTAATTAGAAGTCACCGGGCTCCAGCAGGTGCTTTTAGCCATTGAATCCTAGTGGCTGGGCTGTGGCTGTGTTTGGAGTGAGTTTTCAGTGAGGCATACATCTGTATCACCCTTCCTAGTGTCCCCATGGTTGGGTCAGATGGGCTAGGAACAGCTCATATGGACTGGGGCCTGATATAGGAGAAATTGGTCCCTCTGTGTATGTGAATCCTGGTAGGTCAGTCTGGTTGGCATTGGGGTTTAGGGTCTTGGTGTGATGCCAGGTTATGTGTATGCATTCCCAATCTCAGAGCATGACACGGATTCAGACAGTGACCTGTCCCTGGAAGATGACCAGAGTGGCTCCTATGCCTCCACCCATTCCTCAGACAGCGAAGAGGATGAGGAATTCACTGGGGAACCCTGCTGGGAAAACCTGCTCTGCCCCAACAATGAGAAGCAGCCAGCACACAGCACCCCCAAAGGTAGCGTTGGCACTGGGGTGCTGGGTGGGGAGGGCAGAGTCCAGCTGAGGGGGAGGGCAGCCCTGGGGCAATGTCAATGCATGGGCAGCCTGTTGCCTTCCTGCCACTTCCCCCTAGTCGATAGGAACATATTTCTTTCCTTTGCTAGCTCCTCTCTGCCCCCTCCACCCTAAATGCAGGTGCCCCTGGCCGTCCTGAAACACCAGATGTTGCTCACGGAGACTGACTGAGACCATGCAAGAGAAGAGTTAGGCCGCGAAAGGCCATTGCTTTGTATTGGGCCTGGTCTCCCTGTTGCTCAGCCTGGTATAACTGGGAGTCACTGTACCAGGCCAGGTGCCCCTAGCTCAGCCTGGCATAAACCAGGAGCCAGCCTGTTGAATTCAGGGGGTGAGCTGTATGTTGGGGCTGACGGCTGCTGCAGGGACTGTCTCCCTCCTGCTGATTGTGCTCCTTTCTCCAGCAGATGTGTTGGCTCATAGCAAGCCCTACTGGCCAGGGGAGTTTCTGACGACAGCCAGCGAGAGCGATGGGCATGGGGGCTTGGAGAAGCTGCGAGTGGAGACGGCCGAGGTGTCACTGGGGCACTTGGATGACCTCCCCAGGGTGAACGGGGAGGCACTGTACAAGGAGAATGTGTTGATGTCGCTCCCCAACCCTGCTGCCCAGCCCCAGAAAGGTAAATGGGGGGCCTGGCTGATCCAGAGACTGTGGCTGGGAGTCCTAGTGCCTCACTGCTGAAGCTTCTCTGTACTGCCAGGGGATTCCCTTATAAATACTGCTGGGTGAGGGAGGCACACTTGGGCAGGTTCCGCTGTGTGCTGCAAGGCAGAGGGGGTGCTCTTGGGGCAGGGGCCCCCAGGGTTTTCTTGGGCAGTTACTGCAGCTTGGGATGCCTCAGAGGAATTAATCCCTCAGACCAGGGCTGTCCAGCTCCTAAGCAGCTGGGGGCTGAACACCCAGCAGGCCACATCGGGGTGAGCCACAGGCCCCCCGGGCTACATGCTGTTGGACAGTTCTGCCTCAAACCATCCCAGGCACGGCCGGTGCAGCATGGCGGTGACAGCCAGTGGTAGAGGGCTCCTTCCACTTCCCAGGTTGATGTGGGGCTGGGTTGGGAGGAGGGTGGAATTAAACCTGGGAAAGACTGCAGAGAGTTGCTTTCACCCTGCCCTGCTGGGGATGGCAGAAGGTTGTGCTGGGCAAGGGAAGGCAAGGCAGCACAAGCGTTCACCTCCCCATGCCCAAGTACTTGGCCTTCAGCTTTTTCTGCAGACAGGAAGCTGGGCTAAATTAACCCACGCTTGGACCCAGTGGGTTGGCTCTTATGGGGAGGCTGCCCAGGATTGGGGGCTTGCCTGGGAAAGTGACTGAGGTGTTCCCTCCCATCTCCTGCCTTCCTCGGCCCCCTTATCTCTCACAACCCTCCAGGCATCCTGAAGAAGAAGTGCCTGCCAACCATCAACGAGAAGAACAGCATCCACCGCATCCACAACGAGCTCTCAGCCCACAAGTCGGGGACCGTGTTGTCCCACGGCTCCTCAGGCAGCGATGGGAGCCGGGTGGGGGGGTGTCCTCGGCCCCGCCAGACCCTGCAGGACCAGCTCAATGGGGTGACACCCATTGCCATGAGCATCAAGGCTGGCACCGTGGACGAGGACTCCTCAGGCTCTGAGTGAGTACAGCACCGTGGTGGGTGTAGCCACAAACCTGCCCCCAGCTAAGCCCTTCTAGGAGCCACCCTGGCACTTAGGGCATTGCACTGCAGGGAGAACCTTGTGGATTTATAGTGAGGGTAGTTCAGGACCAGGCCCTTGATCCCAGCCCCTATGGCAGCTTGCAACTGAGGTTGCAGCTCCCTTCCTGCACCTATCCCAACAGGGACTTGCCCTTGGGTAATCTGCTACCAACTGCCCAGGGGGCATCTAGTGCCTGTGATGCAGCTGTGGGGACAGGGAGAGTATCCAGCTCTGCAGACTGTTCCCTCTCTGCCCCCCTCCACCCTTCCCATCCTGCTGTGCCTCTGGGGCAGCTCCTGAGCCATGGAAGTCACTGGGGCTGTGACTTTCCATGTACAGCAGCTATGGCTTCAGCCTTGTGTTCCCAGGGGGGTGTGAGTATGACCATCTCCCCCTTTCCTGCTGGGCCTCAACCTCACTCTCCCATTCTGAGAGCAAGGCAGAGCAGCTATGCTGATCCTCACCAGAAGCAGAGCTGCACTGTGGGCTTGATACCTCTATGCCACCAGTCCCCAAAATCTAGGCAGGGAGCCCTCAGCGGTCACTAAATCAGCATTGTACTGCACCTTCCAGCCCGTCCCTTAGCAGCAAGACATCCCGTGGCCTAAATCTCTTTGTCCCAGCAATCTCAGCCCCTTGCTGCCTCTACAGTTTAGGGCTCTGAGCTGGTATGTCTCCAGCTCCATGCCCCTTCACCTTGCGAAGCCCAATATCCAACCTAAAGAAGCTGCTTTCTTTGGCCTTCCTCTCCTTGAGCATGAGGGGTTTATTCAGCGTCTCTGGGCCTCCAAAGAACTGGGGAGAGGAGGAAGGAAATGGGCTGGTGAGATGCTGATGGGGAGGTCACAGTCCCCAAAGGGTGCTCTTTTCCTTCTCTAACTCCTCTGCTGCCTCTTGCACTAACCCTCCTCTTCTTTCCTTTCTGTCTCCTGCTTTCCCTGCTCAGATTTCTGTTTTTTAATTTCCTCCATTAACATGTGAGCCCCACGGCTCCCCGCCCCCATCTGTCTGTCTGTCTGTCCTGGCAGGGGGGCTGGGGGGTGCTTAGCCCAAGCTGCGAGGCCCAGATCCGCTCATGACCATACGTCCGTCTTGTTTGTTTTTGTTCCATTCCTCCCGTGCCCCTTCTCGCTGTGTTTGATCACTGCACAGGAGTGACGAGACCTCCATTTGATGGAGCCACCCTGCTCTGCTTAGGCTGCGAGCCAGGACAGCGCCCCCTCCTGCCAGATGCCCTTTCAAACTGCAGCGAAGAACTTAGCGACCCAAGGGTGCCTCTGTCCAACCTTGTTTTCAGTGCCAAATGAGCCCCATCCTGTGTCCTTGTGCCAGGTGGGGCTGGCGGGGGTGGGGGAGGGCAGGGGCGGGAAGACAGATGTACTTGAACAGATGCACTTTGGATCATGGCTCACACGTCACTGGTTTGCCTCTGAGCGAGGGGGCAGCCTCATCCACCCTCCCCGTCTTCAGGGATTACTGCTCTCTGGCCTGCCACAGCTGGAGCTGCCACATGGACAGACAGGTTGTTTCTTACCTAGTATAGCCAATACAAGGAGGCCTGGGTGCCACATGAGAAGTGTTGCGCGGGGACACCCACGCCTCTGCTGATGGAGCCTTCGTGACGGGATGTAGCTGCCCTAAAGGGCAATAGGAACCATGGCTGGTGTCCAGGCCTTGCTCCAGCAAGCCCTGCCATACTCATTGCCCCTAGTGCCTGGCCTTCCACCTCCCCTGCTGGTGGCTACTCTCCCCATCCTTTCCTCTCCTCTTCACCCATGGGGTCTGTCCTGCACCTTGAAAAGGAACTATATCAATGCACTCAGGCCACACACTCTCTCCCCCTTCTCTGTGTGCCAGGGGCCCATCCTGACTCGGGGTCCTTAAACTAAAGGTCCATGTTTCTGGATGGGCCTCCCACGTGTGCACACAGCATGGCACTTTGGGCAAGCATAGGCTTGGAAAAGACACCAGAGAGTATATCATGTGGGAGGGCCAGCTGCCCTGTCCCACTTCCTCCTCAGACACCCATGGATAGTCCCATGCCCCACAGAGAAACCCGTGGAGTCAGGCTAAGACTACACCACCCAACTCCTGATGACATATGGTGGTTTCTCCCACTGGCTGAATGTGGTGCCTTCCACCCCTGCCCTAGAAGAAAGGTTCATGTTTCTTGGTTTCCAACTTGGACAGAGGTTGCTGGTGATGGCTACATCTATAAGCAGTTGAGGAGGCCTCTACCTTGCCTGTGCCGAATTCCCAGCATGCTGACTCTTGGCTACAGACAGAGATGCCAACCTTGCTTTATGCTGCAGTTTTCTATCCCAGCCAGACGAGACTCTAGCATGGAGGACTTGTCCCAGTAACTTGGATTTTGACAAGGGGCTCTTCATCTTGGGATCCTGGCCACAAGCTACGTAGAACCTGGCTGTCCAAGTTCCCCCCCAGTGTTGGCTGCCCTCAACAGGACTGAGGGATGGATGCTCAGCATCTCAGACAGGACCTATGAGTGGACTGGAAATGGGTTGTGCTTTAAAAGTCTTGGCCATCCCATGCCAGGAGTCTGATTCAACCTCCACTGAAAGGAGCCTTTCATTCTGATGCTGGATCCAGGCAATATGGTGAACTCGGCCCATACAAAAGGGCAAGACAGATCTTGGACCACCATCCTGTGGTGCCTCAGGTGAGCCCTCAGTGTGGGAAGTGTGACCCTGCAGCCTGGCAGCCAGAAAGATTGCCCCTGGCAGGGGTGTGAGACACATGAGTGCTCTAACCATTATAGACAGCATGTCCGAGACCACAGTTGAATCACAGCTCTTTCCAGAGCCAGAACAAAGCCACAGCATGGTTTCAGCACACAGCTCTTGGCACGAGCAGTCTATTCTCCATCACGTGCTGTCATCCTGTGCACAACCCCCCAGCGGGGAGCTGGGGCCCCCAACAAGCTTGGATCTGGGGTAGCAAAACCACTGCAGTAAAATCACAGCAGAGTCAGGAAGACGGGGAGAGACTGCTTTCCTTACTGAAGGGAGCCCCACCTCGGTCAGCCCTGCCAGAGGCGGGGAAAAAATGGCCAAGATGGACATGGCCTTCTGAGGCCAGGATCAGGCTTCCCTGCTTTGGAGCTTGGGACCTGAACAGCACGTGTCAATCTGTGCTGCCCTGAAAGCCAACCTGTGCGATCTGACATCAGCTGAGGATGTGGCACCTAATTCTAGCCCCATGGCAAGGGGCTATTAAGGGGTAAATGAGGACAGGTGCCAAAGGTGAGAGAAGGTGCAGAAGTCAACGGCTGGACTTTGCTTGCCTTTAGCTTTCGGATCAGGTCATGCAAGAAAGGATGCGCTGGCAGGGTTGGTATCGCAGTGGCAGCTTTGACCTCTTCCCCATGTGGCTGTGCTGATGTGGGTCTCCTTCGCGGGGCCACTGGCAGGCTCTGTGGCAAGCCGCCTGCTGCCTCTCCTGCCCATGCTGCAATTATTTTGTACAAAATTAAAAAAAACAAAAAACATAAAAAAGAAAAAAAAAAAAAAAAACCAAAACAGTGGAGCGAGTGACTGGGTCCCATGCCACCGGGTGCCGGAGTGGCGCCTGCCTTCTGCCTCAGAGCCTTTGTTTTTCTACACCCTGCTAGGCTGGGTCCAGCTTCCACTTGCTCCTCACCGGGATGGTATGGCCTATACTTTTGGAAAATGGTTTGTTATATAGACCCGTGTGCACATATGGACATCCAGGGACGGATGTATTTCGACCAAGGAGGCAGTGATGGGGTAGACAAGCCCTTATTTACTCTGGGGTGTTTTTGAATTTGATGCCTCTTACAGGCTCTTTTTTTTTTTTTTTTTTTTTTT